AATTTTTAATATATTTGCGAATCATTTGAGAAAGAGGATTTCATTTCCTTGTTTAGAGGCTTCGAAGTCCGTGCCGTTGTACGTGCCATGGGTGTCCGAATCCCAAATGATGCAACTGAAGATCGAGGGAAGATTCGGCACTCTGTCACTGCCATCGTACACGATCGAGAATACTCAAAACGTGTACGTGGAGGCTCGACCCTGGATAACGTTCATCCAGCCTGACAAGGAGTTGTATTTGCCCGGCCAGCTAATCCGTTTCCGGATCCTCTCCGTCACGCCGGATCTGCGTCCGAGCCTCGAACCGGTGAGTGGTGGGGTCGGTTATGGGTTAGTCCACACTCTTCTTTTGTAGCTGTGACTTGGAAGATTAAGTGCTCGAGAGGAGCACTTTGAAATGCGACGTCAACAACAGAATCCGGTCGGGTTGACATGGAAAAACCACCGACTGTTTTGTTCGTTTTGGTTTTAAAAAATTCTTAAGAATTGAATCGCAAATTCTGCACATGCTTTCAAATTACGATATTTCCATAATTTTGGTAGCTTTTAAGTTAGCAAACGTTCAATCTAATTTCTTTCGAATAATTTTGACTGGGCCTGATGTACGTCATATTACGGCTGTCAAAGACATTTGAATAGACGTACCCAATAGAAATTTGCCGAAGTAGCAAGACAATATCATTTAAACTACAACATGGATTGCACCTACATATCCTGAAAAGCTTCATTTGACTCAAAATGTTCATTTTATTTGCTTTAATATGGCCATATGCATTGTATTCTACTGTGTTATGGAGCTATTCGAAATATATTCACCTAAGCTTTCAAATCGTGATTTCAAGGTTTTCATTCAATTTTCTACAAATCGGATCAAACAGAGTAAGAAGCAGACGTTAAGCTGACATAAGGGGTCATCATTCAATTTCTTACACTTTGCATGCTAATTTTTGTAAAGAAGATGAAGTTTTTTGAGTTTATGCAAAAAGATATTTTCATCGTCGAAATGTACAGAATTATAATTCAGCTGTTGCGGCTTCAGAGGTGTAACAATTCTTTTGATTGTGTTCAAAAATATTTTTGACCTCGTCGTACCTTACGGTAGCATAAAAGTGAATGACCACTGTTTGTTTTGATTTTCTATTCACAAATATAGTATCTGGCATGAAGCGCAGAATTTTCGTCGTCAGTTTTTGCTCTTGCGAAATGGAAAAAAAATATTTTGCAGTGTTGTACGAAGAAATAAAACATGATAAAAATAAAATTTTCAGTTCTTCTGATTTTCAACTCAATCCGCTAATTTTCGAAAGCTGCTTGAAAGTTCTAGCAACTTTGAGCGTAGGCAATCGTATGCATAACCCAATGCTTTGAATATTTCCTGGTTTGGAACTGCGATAAAACAAAACAAAACAAAAAAAAAAAATATATATANAATTTCATGGAATTGTATATGTGTCAGTGTCACAAAGTTCTTGGAGTCCTGACCACGATCAAGTTTTTTCCCGTTTCACAATGGTGTTCCGTTCTTTTTTGCTTATAGATTCATGCCATGGGCTCTTCAACAAGTTTTAGAAATAGGAATGTTTAGATTCGAAGAGTATTTGACTTAATTTGAGTTTGGTTATGGAGTGTATCGCATTATTTCATTTTTATGTCACGGATCAGCAGTATTTTTAAGATAAAGCTTGAAAATATTGTGCAGTAGTTTGAGCGTGTCTACAAAAATCTTAAAAATTAATGTACAATCTATTTTGCCTTCTCTGAAACTACTGTACAAAGATGGGCGAATTTTCCGCCTGAAAACTCACTTCGTGAAGAGAAACAATAAGCGGAATGCTTTCATGCGTTTGGTGGATTGAATGAAAAAAAAAATTGGAAGTTGATTCCACCATTCGACAGTTCACGGCTTGTGCATATCATTGTATTGTAAATCAATTGAATGATGGAAAAACAGGTCGAAAAGTCAAGATTTATTTCGCTGAGTCTACGCAGTAGTTATTTCGTTGCCGCCGTTGGCAAGAGCAATCCCGGTTAGCTTCAATCTGAGATGATGATGAGTCTTCTTTCAGGACCTGGGCTTCACATTCACCACCACGCACTGACAATGCTATTTTTTTTGTGTCGGATCGTGTGTTTGTTCCAGATTGCCGACGTTTGGCTCGAGGACACGACGGGTACTCGCGTCGCACAGTGGAAAAATGTGCCCGTCATCGCCTACGTGGGCATAGCTCAAATGGAGTTCCAACTGTCCGAAGAACCACCACAGGTACTTTTCTTGTTACATTTTTATATTTTGGATGGTCAACTTTATTTTTGGAATCACGAACTGGAATCGCCATTTTAATGGACTTGAACTAATCAGCGATTCACTGCCGTTTCCGAATTTAGGATCTGATGTTGGATCAGAGATTGCCTAATTATTATGACGAAATTTGATACGTGACATTATAAAAAAATATTTGCCGTTCGATCGGTTAAATGAAACATTCCAGGATGTACCGAAACCCCGGTTATTTATTTTTTCAGGTTCTGTATGATTTTCATATTTTGGAAAGTTTTTCGTTCCACAAAAATAAATCCGACCTATCCTTTCAGTAGGTACCGAAACACCCTGTCAAACAAAAACCGGAAGCCTGGTATTGTCATAATAAACATGAAGAGCACGCTATCTCGTGAAAAGAGCTAGGAAATCATTTTTGGGTTGAAATAATTTCAAGAATCAGACACGAGTATCTGCAGTTTCAAAGTCAGTATACTCATTCACTATACAAAACTTCAACTGATGTACTGTACTGTATATTTAAAAGACTCTCTCTAAAACCCCATGTATTCACGTCCACCGCCAGAAATTGTAATACAGCTCTAAACTCTTCATTTTCAAGAAAGAGCAGTATTTGAAAGATTCGCACGAATGCATTATCCTCCAGAATATTTCGAAACGTCCATCTTTCAAATTATTCCGTGCCCGAAGTTGGAAAAGTTACAGGATTCGCCAGCAGACACATCCTAAAATCCCAGCACTCTTTAGTCATGAACCCCTTGTTCTTGAAGTGTTCAATTCGAAACTTGACATGTCATCTAGAAATAGTATGATTTCGAGTTGTCGAACTTCGTTAATGAAAATTTGCCTCGAGAAAATTGAATCTTTATTAATTTTTATTTTCTATTCGACACATAGGGAACCTGGTTCATAAAAGCGAAAGTCGACGGACAGACAGAGATGAAAACGATCCAAGTCTCAGAATATGTCTTGCCGAAATTCTCATTAACTATCGTGCGTCCAGACGTCGTCCTTGCAAATGCTGTGTCCATTCCTATTGAATTTTGCGCCAAGTACGTAGACACTGGTTTGAAAAAAATAAAATCCCTGGCGAGAAACGACTAAAATACTGCGGGTTCCTTGTTCGTAGATATACCCATGGGCAACCCGTGAAAGGAACGCTGAATGCCGAAATTTCACCGCGGACTTACGGGTACAACATCACGGAAAAGCGGCTGCAGGTGAAAATATCGGATCAACAGGTGAGGCCCCGCAGACGTGATTAAAAATTCCATTTCCTCGAAAAAAAAAATCATCTTGGATGCGCATTACATTCTGCACCTGCTTTCAATCCCAGTTAGGCGTTTTAATTGCCATAATCCGGACATTTAAGAAGTCCATCGAATTCAAAGTCTGGGTTTTGCAACAAAAAGCAGGAGATAGCAGTCGTTAATTTTTTTTCGCAAAATACGTTGATTAGGTAATGCTTCTTTGTTGGAACTTTTCTGGTGAGCGTAAAATTATTTTAATTCCATCATGAACATCATGCATGATTTCACCGTACTGTATTCATTCCATTATAAACCTCAGTTTCATGCTCGTATGTTCGTAGCCCAGCGTTCTAAATTTGGCTTGGAAGTATTGGAATAACGATACTGGCGATTTTAACAAGGAGGCGCTCCACATACGTATTAAAGTTAATTTCAGTACCCGTAGATATTAATCCATAAGACGCAATTCCCTTGG